TGAGGACCACTCCTTTCCATCTTATCACTCTTTAATTCCTCCTCATCATTTTGTCCCACTAATCTCTTGGCCATTCTCCCTCATTCATCAAAGACTTTACAACTTCACTCAAGGTCTTTTAATGCCAAAGCGTGCCATTACTCTGGGTAATTTCAACACCCCCTATGTGATGCAGGCAGTTCCTGTGGATTTATTGCTTCTAAACAGTAACTCCAATTCAGACATCTACTTCTGCAGTTAGACCATACTCCCTTCATCCTGTATGCTCCTTGATTTACATGCTCAAATAGTTCAGCTTTCAATAGCTAACATTCTTCTGCATGCATACTTCTAAGTTTTTGGATGAGCTACTTTCATAGGCAAGGTTTTTTCAGCCTTTAAGAAACTCCCAGTTTACAAGTTCTACATTTCCTCCCATCTGTCAATGCTTTTTTCTTTACTATCCTCTTTACATTACTTAAAGTCCATGACCTTTGAAGACATCCTATTACCCTAAAATTCTTTGTTTTCAGTGCTTGCAATGTTGGGTTTCAAACACAGTTCCTGCTCCCTAACTTCCTCCTAAGTAGTCAGGACATAAATTAAAACTTCTTTTCTGCCTTGAAGGTATACATAGAGTAATTCTCTGATCTATTTTGTCAGACAGAAGATTAGACCTCCATCTCAGGAGTCCCGTCCCACACCCATGAGGAAAATGTGCTGGAGAATTCAAACAGATTGAACTCTGGATTTCCCTCACTCAGTCTGTATTAGCCATGATCATACCTTGTCTACAAAATCCATTAAAAAAACAAAAACAAAGGACTTAGCTGAATATGTAGAAGTCCCAATAGGGTGGAATGAGCAGAGAAGGCATAAAAATTCAACACCCTATCCCTTATATCTTGCCTTATGTAGCATGTCATCCATTTTCTTTGTAACATCCTTTACTTAAAAGTTAGAAACATGGGCCCAGCAACAGAGCCTAGTGGCTAAAGCCCTTGCCTTGCACACGCCAGGATCCCATACAGATGCCAGTACATGTCCTGGCAGCCCTGCTTCCCATTCAGCTTCCTCTTGGTGGCCAGGGAAAGCAGTGGAGAATGGCCCAAAGTCTAGGGACCCTGCACCTGCATGGGAGACCCAGAAGAAGCTTTTGGTTCCTGGCTTTGGATCAGGTCAGCTCTAGCCATTGTGACCACTTAAGGGAGGGAATCATCAGATGGATGATTTACCTCTCTCTCTTCCTCTCTGTATATCTGAATTTCCAATAAAAACTAATTAATTAAAACCTGGAAACACAAGTTTTCACCTGAGATCTGTAAGCCACTCAAAGTAACTAATCAAACCTGAGTAGGGGATTGTAGGACTTCTTTTTCATAACTAGCCAGCCAGAAGCACAGGTCTAACAAACGGGTGACCTGCAACTACCATCTGAAGTGGGGGATTGGGCAGGGCAGCCTTTAGGACTGATCCCTTAACCTTAGTCTTTTCACATCATCTCCAGGTAGATACAGTAGAACTGAATTAGAAAACATTCAGCTGGCCATCTACTGTAGAACTGCTTACTTGCTGTGCTGGGCAAATCCCCGCATCTTCTGGGATCACAACAGTCTTCGATATTAACTGTGGCGTGAGAACAATAAGACAACAACAACAACAACAACAAAAGACAAGTATTTTCTTTTTCTATTCAGAAACCCAGTCTGGCTAAACTTCAACCCTGAATGAAATATTCATTTTCTGTGTACCTTAAAAGATTCAAGAGTGTACTGCTAGGAAAAACTACCCAGGATCACTGTGCCCAAATGGATCCTGAAATATCATAGCAATCCTATCATTCTGCTGTGATCATGCAAAACAAATCTCTCAAACCTAAGGAAATCTGTTCAGGCTTTTGACTCTCTATACGTAGTTTCAGCAAAGATTCTCCTACTTTACAGAAAAACACAGAAGTTACAGATTTGGCTTTCCAACGGGGAAGTAGAGGAAATTTATGTCTGACAACTTTCGCCTTGCATCATTCCTTTTTCCCTTCTATTACATTAGACGGTAGTGAAGGCCCTGAGCATGATGGGGTTTACAATGAGAATACAGAGGCAGACAATAAGAGAACCTTCAACTACTCCTTGAGGAAATCTAAAATTTGATGGCTGGTTAGAGAATGAAGTTTCAAATGAAACCACAGATTTATGCTAGAAATAAGTCAGTTATACTCTGCTATAAAGGGGTGTGTGTGTGTGTGTGTTCACACATACAAGAAACTGATTTTGAAGGCAAATGCAACTCTGGTGTTTCTCAACATTAAATATGAGTCCTTTGATAGATGGAATGTCCTAATATTATTATTACTGAATTCCAAAGAAGCATTTTCTCCTATGAAAATAATCTACTTGACAGAATTCTACTAGCCAAAAGTGGAGGATATAGGGTGGAGAAAGTGAAATTATTACCCTTTGCAGACACAAAATTTTCTAGTTGGAACAGAAATAGCCCTGACTCATCAAGACTACATGTGTATTTAGGATCCTTAACTATAAACAGTAGGCTTCAGGCTTGGGTGGTCTGCATTACGTCCAATAATATATAAATTGGCTTATCCTCAAAATAAATATTTCCTTTTTCATTACTCTGAGCCCTGAATTATATTGGCTCTTTGGTCAAAACCAAAAACTTTTTCAATAGAATCTTCTAGCTTTCAGCTTTTGTATTCAGGGGATAGTTCAGGATTCTATACTCATTATGTATAGAGTTTAAGTGGCTTTCTCTGTTTCTTGAGGAATATTCTGGGTGACTGGAAAAATACCCACTAAGAAATAAAATGCCTCAATGCATATGATGATAACCAGTATTTTCCACACCATGCTCAATTGTGGATTATGATCTAAAGAAAGAAATACAAAATATTCTGTGTCCTGTTTTCACTTCAGAAATGTTTGCCATATTATGTAAGCTGTCTCAAAATTACTTTCATGCTGAGTATGCCTTTTATCTTCTTTAAATATTAAGTTTAAATGCAGTTGGTTAAGTTATATATATGTCTGTATGGCAATATCTTAATATTTTAATAAAGACACATTTCTTAATATTTCATATAATAGAAAATTTTATAAAACATTTTAATAAAGATATTATATATTTATGTCTCAATGATTTCACAAGAAGTCTTCAAGCGCTTATTAAAATGTTGTGTAAAGTGGTATTTTCCTGGTGGGAGGTGCATGCAGAGAAAAGGGCATGAAAAAACATTGAGGAGTAAGTGTTGTTGTGGTGAAGCATATATCCTGCAGTCTGCAACAGACCATACATGTAACCCATTCACGTCCTTCCTAACTGGTATACTTCCAATCCATCTTGTCAATGCATCTGTGAAGGCAGAAGAGGATGACAAGTGCTTGGGCCTCTGCTACCCACCTGGGAGACCTGTTAGAAGCTCCTGGCTTGGGCCTAGCCTAGCTTTGGTTAGTACAATCACTTGGAGAATGTACTAGCAGATGGAAGATACCTCTTTGTTTCTACCTCTCCCTCTTTCTCTTTCTGCAACCATGCCATTCATATAAATAGGTACAGTTTTTGAAAATGAGGACTAATATTCATTTATGTTTAATAAGGCTTCCCTGTACCATCCAAATAGTTTTTTTTTTTTTCAGTGCAAAAAGAATCCTTTATTCTTCTGGATAATAGGAACTTGGCATGACTCACAACTCTCCTATATACCTGGTTAATGAGTTGGCCAGAAAATATTCTGAAGTCATAACAAAGACATATCATCAGACAGCAAAGATTCCAAAATCATTATGACCAGATGTGTAGGTCTAAAACTCTTGGCTTCTGGCTGGATTTCTCAATATTGGTTTATAAAAGGAGCATTAAATATTATTTGTTCTAGTTCAAAATTTCTTCCTTCCAAAAGAGCTGACCTAAGTGTGAAAAACTTTCTCTGTGGAAAGTTAATGAATGTTATGAGGAAATGCTTTAGCTACAGCTGGCTGTTTTCCATACAGTACATATTAACTCACATGCTCTCTGAACTTCTACAAGTTAAGAATTTAATGGAAAGTTTCAGTTAAAAGGTAAGTTCATTTAGATGCAGGAAAGTTTTTAAATCAATGCAGCTTTTTCATAATACACATATCTATGAAATTCTCAAAGACAATATAATTTGACTCTCAGAAAATTAGTTGAGTGCTAACAATATTTATTTTTATACAATTAAGAGCTTTTTTATTATCTAAATGACAGAAAATTTTGTTCTGGATTTTAAGTAATACCACATGAGATGTGAAAAATACCACATGAGATGTGAAAAATACCATAATCACATTATAACTAGGAAAACCTGCATTATTGCCTTCAAATGAGTAGAAAAAGGCTATGCATTGATACTAAGAGAAGATTTAGTTTTACTTTACACAAAATGCTACAGAATAAAGTCAACTGTAAAATTAAAATTTGAAAGTTGCAACTTTAACACCAGTGATTGCTTTATAAAACAAATAATTCATCCAGTCTTGGATCCATCCACTATGAAAGAGCATATGTCTTCTGTTTTTTAAAAGGTTTATTAAAGGAAAAAAAACTGTTAAATACTCAGATGATTAACAGTCTTTATTGTGATAAAAATTTTGAAGTTTAACAATTATGAGGTCTAAAAAAGAAAATGTAAAATATGGTTTTAGAATGATGAAAATTCTGCATGATATACTATCATTTTATTTACTATCCAAGAAACAGTTTAAAAGAAACAGTTTAAAAACTCTAGAATTAAAAGCCTATCTCATTAACAGAACAAAATCCAATTCTTACATGATTGTGAATTCATGTTAAAAACTATAAATTGCTATCTAACAATATGGCAAGATTATTTCTAAGACTAAATTTTGCTTTCAAAGTTCTCATATTGACTTGTTACACCTTCATTTCACTGATTTTGGTTAAATATTTCCACAAACATGAATTAAGATACCCAGGACTGAATGATGCCATCGCATGCTAACTCTTGCTGCACTGGAATCTCATACCAGTGCTAATTTGTGTCCCAGCTGCTGCACTTCAGATCCAGCACCTTTTTTATGGTCTGGGAAAGCAGTGGAGGAGGGCTCAAGTTATTGGGCCCCTGTACCCATGTGGGAGATGGGAATTCAAAGCTCCTGGCTTTGGATCAGCTCAACCCTGGCTGCTGTGGCCATTTGGGAAGTGAATCAATGGATGGAAGATCCCCATCTCTCTCTGTCTCCCCTCTCTGTGAATCTGCCTTTTAAGTAAAAATAAATAAATTTTAAAAAAGAAATCAATCTGAACCAGCATTTCTTGAAAACCTACACTGCAGAAAGGAAACAGGGATCAATTCTGACAGGGTAACTCAGTAAGCCATTGGAACAAAAAGGAGTTTCATACTCATCAGTAAATTCATAATCTAGTGAATTTTATGAGCTATGAAGGAAAACAAGGGGTATTATTCACAAGGCAAAGTGTTATTTCTTTCTGAAGTCATATAGAAAAAAGGAGGTCTTCACAACACAGTACCTCTTTTTATTATGATAAATGCTATTAACAAAGACTGTAATTCCACTATTTTTAGCATCTCTTAAACTGTTATCACAAAGTTAAGCATTTATTGTTATTCCATTTGCATTATATTGCACGTATACATTATCAGGAGGAGTTATGCTCATGCTGTGGTTCAGAAAATTAATTTAAAGGATTAAATACTTGGGCAACATAAAATAATTCTCAAAAGGCTCACATTTTTACACAATATGTAAACAGTTCTAATCCAGAGCAGTACTTTCTCTCCTAACCCTCCAAACATGCAGAGAAGATATTCAGATGGTCCATCACAGTAATATCACCAGTGGAAACAATTCAGGACTTACTAGGAAATGTCATTACTTTTTAAAATGTATTTATTTTATTATTATTTGTATATTTTTTCTTTTATTTTTTGATTTTATGGTACAATTGCACAGGTTCTGGGATTTCCCTTCCTCTTCCCCAAATTATCCCCCACCCCCACTGATTTCCCCTATAATATTACAATAATATAGTCCTTTAAGAACAGTCATTAAGTCCATCATTCTGCTATTTAAGTGTATTCTGACATTGTAGCTACAGACAGTGGTAGAAAGTCCAGCATCCTATTGTCAAGATATATTTAAGTTTCCTTGAGAGTTTATCTTTGCTTTGGAAGTTGAGATACATACTGTATTATATATTCACATCTAGATATGATAGTCTCTATTATTACACAGTTACTATATATCCCATTAAATGCAAAGCCATAAAACAAAATCAACAACAGGGGAAAAAAAGATCTAAATTTACAGTTAATAATCTTCTTCAACCTTTCTATGAGAACCTGTGGCATTAGTGGTGTTAAATGGCTTACTCTAACCCAGGTCTGGATTCCCTATAACATATGAAACACAAAGCATTTGGTACCTAACAATGACTTTCCTGCACAACATGAATCTATGGAACATACTCACATTCACTTCCAGACTTCAACATGGTATTGAAGACTACATTTTCATAAACCACAATATTATGCTTTCTTCCTAGTATGTTTGGAAAGAGCTTGCAGCAATACAATCATAGTCAGTTAGCCTGCATTTTCTCTGTGACACAAGAATACAACACTGTCCCCATAGAAGCACAACATTCAAGTTTCTCCTGGGAAATGACTTATCACATTTATCTTCTTTGGTCAGAGTCATATGAGTACAATTTTCTTCAAGAGTCAGTGAAGTCAAATCTTGCCATGTGATTACAAGGGTTACTTAACAGATATTTTCTTCACAGATGAGATGAAAATACAAATGGTAGAAATGATATAATTTACTAAGTTTTGGCTATTGAAAGAGGCACCACCTTTCTCCACACAATTCACAAAGGAGAAATTACTGACACATTATGAAGGAAAAAATGGGCTCCAAGAGATTAAATAAATACCACAAGGTTGTACAAACAGTAAAAATGAAATTGAAATCTAAATTTGTCTGATTCTAAAACTCAACAAAGGTAGACTTCTGATTCAGTGTTCAACATGTAGTATTTTTTTAAGTTTATAGTTACACGTATCCCGATGTCTAACTTAAAATTCAAAAAGAGTAACTTCAAATCATTTATACAGATATAAATAGTGATATAAAGCACCATTCCCCAAGATTTGACTTCTAAGACTTATGTTACTCAATGTATGACAAATTATAAACCACCTTAAATGAAATAATCTATATTAAAAATATACGTCCATAAGAAAAATTAATGAAGCAAAAGCTTTCTTTTGGAAATGGCATTAGTGAGAAGCCAGTTAAATTATGAGTTGTGTTGTCTACATTGTGACAGCTGAGAACATAGTTTTATAATCTCTTTACTAAAGAAGTAAAAGAAGAAAATACTATACGTTCTGAAAATTGCTGATTCTTCATACTTTAGGCCTGTTGGGACAAGTAATCAAAGAAAGCATCAAAATTACATTGTTCAAAGGTATGCATGATACTAAAATAGGTTTGGAATAGTGACAATAATTGTTAAGTGATCTTTTCCAGTGAAATGAAAGAAAAGGGTGGCAGCCAAAATCTACCTGTCTTCACAAGAGTAGAATCTACCCTATTTGATGTGCAAAAACTATAGAACATAATGTAAAACCATGTAAGTCTATCATAAATAAATGAAAATCCAATACAAACATTCCAAATCGATTCAAACAAAAGCTTTATTCTACATATTCTACTTTCAAAGAAACATAGTAAGCCTACAAAGTCAGATTGGATCAACAATGAAGAGAATGGTTAAATGGTCAATGGGATATTAGTTCATTTTGCACATTTATAAAATTACAAATGGTCACTAAAGATAAAGATATATTTATTACAAATCCTTCTATTATCAATTCAGAATTTGTCATTTTAAAAGGTTATATTATATAACCTGTAATCCGTTCTCTTATAATCGAATAATATATATTCCTCAAGAACATTCATGTTACTAGGTTAGTAATATTTTTCTTCCTATATATTGAAACAAAAATTTTCTTGCAGAATGTTTGGTACACATGATAAAATTTGGATAAATGAGACATATTTAATGCAATTAAAAATGTCAAGTGGTTTTTAATTGTCGTTAGCATTGTGAGTGAGCAGTGGTTCTAAAGACTGGTGACAGAAGCTGGAACACATTTTAATGAATGATTAGATGATTTCTTTATCATCTATCTGGCTTTGGATTCTAGCTGAACAATTTATAGGACCACCCATTTTAAGCTTTAATTTCCTCAATTATAAAACTGAGGCACAAAAATAATTTTAAAATAATTTTTAAACTGTTTTCCACCATACTATTTTTATAGGTTATAGGCAGAAGGGAAGATGAGTCCCTCTACACAAAGGTCTTATGAGGATGTAAAGGAAACAAGCATACAATGTACTTAACATAATAATAGCTCAATAAATGTTAGATGCTATTGCAGTTCCTATTGTCCTAATGATTCACTAAAAAGATAAATCAAGTCATTACAGAGAAATCAGTATAGTTAAAGGAGTTTCCTTGCAAAAAATTTAAAAGAGAACTACCACATGATGTAACAATACCACTCCTTAGTGTATACCCAAACAGAAATGAAACATGTCAAAGAGACATCTGTTCTCCCAAGATTATGACAGTGCTATTTACAACAGCCAGGAAATGAAAATGGCCTGAAGGTGCATACAATGATGAATGAGTAAAGAAAAAGTGGTACGTATATGCAATGCCACTCAGAAACAGAAAAAGATGAACTCTTGTCATTTTTAAAACATGGATGAAAATAAGGTCATTATGGTAAATAAAATAAATGGAGCAAAGAAAGACAAACATCACATGATCCCACTCATATATCAAGTCTAAAAATCAGATGGTCTAAGAGAAATTCAAAATATAATAGTGGTTACCAGAGACTTGGAGGGATAGGGAGAAGGTTGACTGGTAGGTACTAGATTATAAGTTACAGCTAGATAAGAGTAAAAAGTTCTAGGGTCCTATTGAACAGTACGGGGATTAAACACAACGTTAATACAGTACACCTTTCTCTCTGTAAGATGTTTAGAAATTAGGAGTCTTAGTAATTTTGCTATAGAGAAATGGATAATTCTTGAATAGCTTAAGTTTAAGATCTTATACCTGAATTACCAGCTATGTGCTCAGTGGGGCAAAGGAACTCCAGAGTAACATCCTCGATTGGCACGGTGGAGCAACTCTGGCTACAGTCATTTGGGGGAAGAGACACTTGAGCCACCAGGCTTGTTCTCAGTCCCAACTTTCTTCATGCCACAGTGAGCCAGCTGATCCATATCAAGTAAACTCATAGTGCCCACACACTTCATTTACCCAGGCCTGTACTCTGTCCAGAGCACCAAGTCACACTGAAGCACACCACCTGTTAAATCGGTCCACAGCTCTCCACAATCAGACCAGACAAGTACAGGGGCCCAGCAGAAACTGGTGATTTTCTGAGCTCCCAGACACAGAATACAGAATAGAGACAGAACAAAGCAGGGACAACTACAGCAGAGTCGTGTGTGTGTGTGTGTGTGTGTGTGTGTGTGTGTGTGTGTGTGTGTGTGTGTGTGGTTTTGGAGGGGGTGGAGAAATGGGGGGAATGGGCTTCCCCCTTTCAGAATAAAGCATGATTCAGACTCCTATCATTTACACAGGCTGAACTTTTGAAATTAGTGTAGACTATGGAATCGTTAATTACAGCCGTCTGGAGTCAGCGTCATGGTGTGGCAAGTTAAGTTTCTGCCTGCAGTACTAGCTTCCCATATAGTTGCTGGTTCAAGTCCTGGTTGTTAGACTTCCAATCAAGCTCTCTGCTAATGCACTGGGAAGGCATCGGAACACAGGCCAAATCATTAGTTCCCTGCACTCACGTGGGAGAACTAGAAGAAGCTCCTGGTTCCTTGCTTCGGACTGGCCCAGCTCTGAAAGTTGCAGCCATTTGGGAAGTAAAATAGTGGATGGAAGATCTTTTCTCCTTTGTCTCTCCTTGTCTCTATATAAATCTGCATTTCATATACAAATAAATAAATCTAAAGAAAGAAACTCTGCCAGTGGTGGAGCACTGCAGCACCTTTTCCCCACCTTGTCTCAACAGACAGCTGTTTCCAGCTGGAAGCCTGTCATCCACTCAGAGGAAGGGCTGGCTTGTGGCATGGGTGGCAGTGGCATGCCAGCCCTATCTCCTCACTGTTCCTTGGATCCCCTGCTTTGTTTCACCATTTGTCCTCTGAAAGTTTCAATCATCCCCCCTGAGAATAATGTCCTTTCTTTGTTTTCTGGTTATCTATCTGTGGCTGAGACTTCTACTTAGCCATGTTGGATGTTAAACTTCCTTTTTCTTCATATTAACATGTAACAAGAGTTTTAAGCATGTCTTTCTCTCTCTCTCTCTCTCTCTCTCTCTCTCTCTCTCTCTCTCTCTAGTTTCTTTTTTTAAAATTTATTTGAAAGGCAGAGTTATAGGGAAAGAGACAGATAAAGACAGATAGATATCTTGCATTTACTGATCCATCCCCCCAAATCTATGACAGGCTGAAATCAGGAGCCAGGAACTTATTCCAGATTACCACATCGAAGCAGGGGTCTAAACACCTGGATCATCTTTCACTGATTTTCCCAGAAACATAAGCGGATCAAAAGTAGAGCAGCTGGGACTTGAACCGGTACCCATAAGGGAAGTCAGCACTTGAAGGTGGAGGCTTCACACTGTTGTTCCCACAGTGTGGACTCCAAGCATTCTGAGTCTTTTCTATCTGCAATACTGTCTCTATCAGCAACTGTATGGCATCTTATGTTTAAATTAATTGACTCTCCAGACTTGGATATCACGTCACTTGTTAATGAAGCATTTGCTATATGACCTAGCTAAAAAGTAATCACACAACCCTTGCTAGTTATTTCACTTTGTTCAAACCATATGAACATAATCACTGC